CGTCTTGGCAGGCTTTTGTGCCCATTTGTCGTGCTACCTGTTTCCCAGCATCGAGTCTCTGATTGGAGTGCTGAGGCTGCACGCCTCGCCAAGGGACACGGTTCAGGTTGGTGGCGCACGCTGTCAGATGCTCGAGGCAGACACCGGTTTCGTAATGTGGATTTGAATGGCTCGTGTGGACTTTGCACACCGTAGGGTGTGCTATTTCCGTCTGTTGACGAGAAAGCAGAGTGATGCCTCTCTAAGGAGATGTCATAAATGCTTTTCCTTTTTTCCTGGGCGGAGAAATTCAAGTCTCTCTTGGCCCGTTTTTGTTTTCCTTAGTGATGTAAAATACACAAGTGCTGTATCTTTTGGTGTATTTGTTTATTTTGTTTGGAGCCATCCATGCTGGTATCTAAATACAATAGGAAAACAGATGGCAAACTTTGAACTTCTGGACCAAATTTGTGTTTGCCTTTGTCTCCCTAACAGCCAAACTGTAAATTATGGAGTATAAATATTCAACAGAGGAGCTCTTTATGAAAATCACCCCAGCAAAATAGACCCTTATTAACAAAAGTCCTTGGGCTAGAATCTTCGTCCTCCCCGCGCCCGTCCTTTACAAGGTGCCCTGAGTGAGTGGTGCAGCTGTGGCCTGCGGGCAGTGCTCCCTTCACAGCATTTACACCTTCTCCCACTGCTCTTTCGCACACATGCCTCAAGCGGCTCTAAATGCTGACAGGGACACTTTTGTTTTCCGAGCCTGTTCCCTGCTCTCCCCGCATCTGTAGGCCCCGACCGACTGCTCCCTGGGGAGGGAGGGAGGGAGGGCCGCGCGTCCCCAGTCACAGAGCTCGTGGGCGCGCTGCGGGGTCTAGATGGTTCCCTGCACTGGCCAGGAAGAACGAGCGCGTCTCTCTCCGTGTTCTGGGACTACGTATTTCTCCAGTCCAGTTTTATCTGAAACAAAGCATACATCTGGGAGCGTATGTAAGCCGTGTCCAGTTTAGTCATGGAATGCCTGTGCATCCACCCCCAGCTTAAGAAACAGCACGGCCCGTACCCCTGAAGAACTCGGGGTGCCCCCTCCCCCCTCACGAATGAGTTCCTGTTTCTGAAACAACCCGGCAGTGTCTCCGCTTAGAAGGAAAGGGCGCCTTTATGCCCTTCGTTCTGCTATTGCTGTTACCAGTTCGAGTGTGTTGTTCCAGAATCTTAAGATCTTTCCTTTTTTTTTTTTCAAAGAGTGGGGGCGGGGGGCAGGAGAGAGAGACTCTTAAGCAGGCTCCACACCCAGCGCTTGGAGCCCAATGCAGGACTCGATCTCACAACCCTGAGATCAAGCCCTGAGCTGAAACCGAGTCCGACGCTTAACCACCTGAGCCACCCAGGCGCCCCCAAAATCTTAAAATTTTCCAGCTTCACTTAAACAGGTAACCTACACATTAAATTCAAAAGCACAACGGAGGAGCCAGGCTTCTCTTCCTGAGCAGCCCGGTCCTCCTCCACGGGGTGTCTGCACGCCCACACCTGTCACAGCCCCGGGCTGCCCTGGCCCCGTACAGAGGGGCCCCCCCGTGTGGTGGCCCCGCACTGCCTTCGCTGACGGGCGCAGCAAGAGTCCTGGCCCCTCCCTTTCCAGTCCTCCATCGGTCATGGCTTCATTCCTCAGGTTGCTTTTAGGACCTCTTTCTGTCACTTCAGTAGGACACTTAGAAATATGTAATTCTCATTTTGATTAGTGCTCATGGAGTGTGAGTATGCATGCCTTTCATGAATTCTAGAAAAATACCAGCCATTAACTATACAGATATTGCCCCATGATGAGCTGTCCCCTTCTATCATTTGCTTCTCTTAACCTAAAATGGAGCACAGATAAACAGATGAAAAATGTGACTGAGGGGTTATCTTTCAAATTTATTGTCTAATCCACAAATTCTTCTGAATTTAATTTCAGGAGTGGTATTTTCATTTCCGGAAGTTTTATGTGGCTATCTCTTTTTTTTAAGGCAGGTGTCTTGACTCCCACTCCCCACCCCGTTTTGGGTGGGCCCAAGTCTTACCATCTTGCCCTGGTTCCTGAGGTTGGCACCTACCAGAAGCCTTACCCCACCCCAGGTTGTCCAGGCTGCTTTCCAGCTTGGGCCCGTCACCAGCTTTGTGAACCCAGCAGTGCATTTTAAAGGGTGTTCTTTATCCAGCAGTACTAAGTGATTTTCAGTGGGAGGGTCAGTGAGTTGTCTGAAACAGAAACCCCATCTTTTGCTACTAAAAACAGTGCGGTAGCTAATGGCCTTATATGTCCGTGTGTGTATTTTTATACACATATTAGATACAGCCTAGATAAATTCCCAGAAGCAAAACTGCCAGATCAAAAGTAAAGTATATTGTTTGCTGAATATTGCCAGATCAAAGAGGCGTGCTCACATCAGGCATACGTAAGTACCTGTCTGTCCAAGGCTCCCCAGCATGAAGGGTCTCACCGAGTTTACTACCATCCTTGACCTTTGCCAGGTAGATGGATAGGCAACAGGTGGTATCCAAATGTAATTTTAGTTCATAATTCCTCTCATTACCAGTGAACACATGTTTAAAAGCCATTAGTATTTTCCTGTGAACTTTTTTTCTTAGCTTTTCTCTTATTTTAATATTGGGTTGCGAATCTTTACTTTTAATTCGAATGAATTTTTTTAACAAGAAATTAGCCAGTTATCTCTGTTGTAGACATTTCCCCCAGTTTATCATTTTTGCCTTGACTTTTTCTCCCCCCATGTAGGAAAATTTTAAAACACTTTTATAATATCTTCCTTCTTGACTTTGAGGTTTTTTGGTTTAGAAGGGGCTTCCCTATTCTGAATATTCTTGTAGCTAATTAACTCTTTGAGCCATCTAGAATTTATTCTGATGCAGTGTAGCTGGTGGAGCTCCAAGTTGAGAAAGTTATTATAGGGTATTGTCTTTAATCGCTTTTATAAGTGAGATCTTTGTTTAAAACTAGTGGTTTGTACCTAAGATAGCTATTGATTTTGACATATTTCATTTGATTGAGTTATTACTGAATTATCTTTGACTGTCATTTCTAATAAACTTGTCCACTTCTCATTTTTTCTTGTATCTAATTATACTTCACATTGTTTTAAAAATTAGGTACTAGTAAAAGCAGATCACTGTTTCTTAAAGCCTTCATTAGAAATAAGTGCTATATCTCCTCACGTTTCAGTATCCATGATTTGTTGTAGTAACTTGGTGAACTATATTAATAGACATCCTTGATGAATTCTGTGTTTTATTTCGGTCTGAGCACTGATACCGATCTAGTGTTCTGTCATGGTCAGTTTTGGGGAGGACAGAATGCTGGCTTCACAGACAGACGTGGGAAGCTGTGCTCCTTCCTTGCTGGGCTGTGGAGCAGTGTGCAGAGTCCCTGGGCTCTTCCCTCCAGGATGGGCCCATTTAGCTTGTTTGTGGGACAGCCTGCTCCTTGTAGCCTTTTCTATCCTTGGCGGGGGGGGGGTCCAGTTTGGGTAATTCTCATTTTTCTAGAAAGTTGTTTATTTCATCTAGGTTTTCAATTTGGAGACTTAAAATCAGCTTAAACCTGGGTAGATTATGACTCAAGAAACTGAATTACTTAAAAAAAAACTTACAAAAACTAGGTCCATCTAAGTTTTTTGGCAGTTTTACCAAACATTTACTAAACTCTCCCCTTAGTCATTCTAAAGCTTTTTGTCCTGCTGTGTTGAGTTTTACTTTGTGATCCATTCAGAGCACTTACTGTTAATATGTGGGTTTGTCCTGTGTGCATCCATGACTCAGGAAGCATGTTAGGTCTTGAGCGGTCGGTCTGGTGCTACATTGAGTGTTCTATTCATCTCTCCAGGGCCTGAATGTTCTGCCAGGATTTTGCTACATCCCTTTCTTTTAGAAAGTAATCCACAGGTAGCTGATTTGGGGTCTTTTCCTGTTAAAAACAAAAAATCTTAATTATGCATTTAAACTTGGTAGCTACACTGAATATAGAATTTTTGGTTCAAATTAATGTTCCTCAGAACTCAAAACAATAGATCTAGAGTGTGCATGCTCATAACTGAGAGTTTAGGACACAGAATGTGTTTCAGATCGTCTCTCCTCAACACTTGTCGGGACCACACATAACATGTCAGCATTGGGTTTGTCCAGCTCCCTGCTGGGTGGTAGGGTCTTTTCCTTCTTGACTTGCAGCGCAGAGGCTGTTAAATTCACCTGTAGTGAAATTTTGCCACATTTATGTTGGTGTTTCTGCTGGATGAGAAATTTGTCTCATTATCTAATTTGTCCATATGTAGAAATTCAGCATATTCTTAGGTAAAGAGTAGTTTTTAAAGAGGTTCTTAAATTCAGATTATGACAAAGTAATTGCTTTGAGACTTCAGGTAAGTGGCAGCCAACTGTCCACATAGTCAACCATAGACACACATCCCTTTTCAAATTTCAACAAGCAATTTGATGAACTTAGAGAGTCAAGTTAAATACCAGAAAAGTGTTGATTTCCCAACCAAGTAAGGATCTGGGTTGCAGACGCGTGTGGCTGGTTTACCTCCTGCCCTTAACAGAATCTTAGATGGCCGGCACGACTATGTGCTGGACACTTCACTTACCCCCTGGGACAGCCTGCACCGTCGCACGCCAGTCCCTGCTCACCTTCCCTTGGAGCGGACTTGTGCTCAGGGCAGGTGTCTTTCCTGTCGAGCAGAGAAAGAGCATATTTCTCTTGAGTCTCTCTTGTTCCAGGGGCTTTTAAGTCATTCTGACTAGAGAGTTGCAAGCACTGTAAGCGAGTTCGTTCCTCGTGCATCTTAGCCTCTGTGACCGTGTATAAGGGGATACAACGTCCCTGCCGGTAGTTAAGATGTTTGCAACCAAAGGGGTTTTTGTATGTTCTGTTTTCACAAGATCGTTGTGCATAGACCAGCACCACTGGGGATGAATGTGTCATTTCGGGCTTTAACTTGCATCCCATTTCCCTTCTCTGTGTTCAGGGTGAGGATCCACGACCTCCGCACTGACAAAATCGCCCTGTCGCTGTCTGCCCACCAACTGGGAGTCTCTGCAGTGCAGATGGACGACTGGAAAATCGTCAGCGGAGGCGAGGAAGGCCTGGTCTCCGTGTGGGATTATCGGATGAGCCAGAAGCTGTGGGAAGTGCACTCCAGGTAACAGGCCGCCTCTAAGCCAGCTCCCCGCACCGTCCTTGGCCGTCCTTGGCGTAGCCCCTGGGCCGGGTGCAGGGGTTCCGTTTCTCAGGCCAGGAACCCCGGTCCCGGGAGAAGCAGCTCCTCTCTCTCTTATCACTGCCAGGACTCCTGCACAACTCGGGTCGGCAAGACCCAGTGGGAGTCTCCAACGCATATGAGAAGGCAGGGCAGTCCAGGTCAGGTGCAAAAGCAGGCAAGGTTAAAAGACGAATTGGCTGCTGCTTAGCAGTGGGAGCTAGTGCTCACTCCCTTCAGCAGCTTTTATTAGACTCGAGCCCTGGGTGAGAGCTACACTGCCCACTCTGTCCAGCCGGGCCTTACTCCGCGAGCAGGTGTGTAATCTTTTTTCCTGCTTTCTGTGGTGATGCGTGGACTTGCCAGCAGGTGGTGCCGGAAGGCAGCTAAAACTCGGCCATGCTGGCATCCCCAAAAGAACTGCCTTAAGCAGCTGGTCCACCTCCCCTTCTAGGGCAGCTCTCCCTGAAGCTCCGGCCCCAGGGGACTCCACCATCCCCTCTCCTGCTTTCCAGCAGATCTGCTATGCTCCCTCCAATGCATCATTCGGGGGAAGCCAGGGTCAGTAAGATCTTCCCCAGAATTTTCCTATCCCAGCACTCATCTTCCTAACTCATTTGTAAATGTACAACCAGTCTTCAACACTGGTTAGTGGCTTGTCCCGGGCAAGGTCCCCATTTCCACCGGAACACCTCTGGGCCTCACTCCTCAGTCTCCTGCCTATGCACGCAGCTGGTCTGGTTCTCTTGAGCCTCTGGTCCAGCCCTGCGGTACGTGGGAGCCTCTGCTGCCACGCTCCCTGGTTCCTCCTGCCATCTTCAGCCAGCTCCCCTTGTCCCCGCCATTCCCTGGGCCCCTAGTGAAGTCGTCTTCTTCTAGCTGGTGCCCTGGACCAACAGAGCTGAACTCAGGTCCCCCTGAATCTCTGAAGAGTACTGTTCTGTTCCAGCCAAGAAGTCTGCCCCTGCTTGGCCTGCACACATCCTTCCTGAAAGGCCTGGCTGATGGGCCTTTTCCACCCAGGGCCCAGTGCCGAATCCTGTGTCCCATCTTGGGGGCTTGTAAGGTCTCTTGTGCTCTAGAAACATTGGTACTGTTCCGTGGGGATGCATCTTCCATTCTCAGCTAGTTAGGAATCCTCTGACGGCAGGCTCCTGCTTGTAGTAGACATCTTTTCTATCCTGTGTCTCCTTGCTTGTGCTGTGACCATAGGAGGCACTGGACGAAAGTTTTTAGAATGAACAGAAGCCTTTGCTACATTGATTTCTAGCCATTGCTACACAATGTCGCAGCATGAAAGCACCTGCAGATGGTCCATACTTCCATGGTAGCCCTCTCAACCTTAGGAGGGAGGGGGCTTTTAGGGCTCAGCCCCACACCGTGAGCTGGGGAGCCTGGCTTGGAGAACTTACCCAAGGCCAGCCCGCCCGAAATGGGGCTGTTCTCTCCCGCAGGTGGCTAACTTCCTTGACATCCGAAACACCATGTTGCTGGGTAGCCAACCAGACAGTGCCCAGGCTTGTCCTCTGTCAATGAGAAGCTTGGCAGAGGGTTCTAAAGCCCAGTTTCAGGGGGCTCCCTTTCCCACGGCTCTCCTGTCGTGTTCCAGGCACCCCGTTCGTCACCTGTCCTTCACCAGCCACAGCCTCATCACGGCCAACGTGCCCTACGAGAGGGTGGTGCGCAACACGGACCTGGACAACTTCACCGCTCACAGGAGGTAAGTGGGCTGGGGCTGCGGGGGTTCCGAGCAGCCCCTCTCAGTTTGATTTTGTGAGGAGCCTCCCGCCGGGGTCTTCTCGCAGGCACGGCCGTTCTAGCAGTTGTAAGGGCCTCCCCAGGGGCCTGGCCGTGGCCCGACTCCTAGTGCTGGTGGCCAAGCCCCGTCCTCCTCAAGCTGCAGGGTGACTCTGCTCTCCCCCTGCCACAGCGGGGTCCTTCCGGCTGCTGGCCTGGCCTTCCCTGATGCTGACCCTTTCCACCCCGCTGCCGGCCTCCCAGCACTCCATGCCCTCTGCCAGACTTGTCTCGAGTCCGGGCATTCCGAGGGACACGCGTGTTACAGGAAGCACTGGTACTGACGCGCTCGCTGTCCGTGTGCTTCCTCTAGGCACCGCGGGCTGATCCACGCCTACGAGTTTGCCGTGGACCGGCTGGCCTTCCAGAGCGCGCTTCCCGTCTGCCGAGCGGCCGGCGACACGGCGCCGACCTACAGCTACGACCTTGCGCTCGCCTTTCCCTAGGACCGTGGTTAGGGGAGCGCCTCATGGGGGAGCAGGGGGACAGATGGGAGGAACCCAAGCAGATGTTTAAAACTACTGCGGAGCTCTGCCCCAGATTTTAAAGGGTTGGGCTGGGGGAAGAAAGCCCAGGGCGCACCTTTCGGACCCCACAGGTTCCTGAACTGCCTGCGGGCCGGACGGTGGCGTTGTTTTCTCTCTCTGGACACTGTGCCACTTCCTCCTGCATCTGCTGCCCTGGCGACGGGGTGGGTCTCCCCCTGCCGTCTCTCGCCACCTTTCCAGTCTTCAAGCCCTTTGCTCTCAGATCACACATAACACCCCCCCCCCGCCAGTGCAAACCTAGGCTAGCAGTACTGTCTTCTCATAGTTTTTACCACAATTTATTTATACACTTATTGCATTAAGGACTGTTTACTTTGTGTCACATGTTGTGGACACCACAGATTATTTTCTACCTATCGGCTGCATAAACAGTTATCCTCCACCTAGGCTGGAAGAGCTGGGGAAGAGACCTTTATCCTCCACCACTGGGCTAAAGCAGGGCAGCACCGGGGAACTCTTCCAAAAGATGAAGAGGGCAAACCACTGCATGACTGTTCTGAGCAGCGGCCACTAGTACCCCTTCAAAATATGAAAGTCATGCTCCTCGGCGGTGGTCAACACATGAAGGATTCAGAGGATCTACTTAATAGAATTTACAAGCATGATCCAATAGTTTTGTGCCTTTTTAAATATCCACAGACCACTCACAGAAAATGGCTGTCTGAAGACCACAAAGACACATCCAGGCCCAAGTCAGTGACCCGATGCAATAAAATTAGATAATGTGAACCCTCTGGGCCATGAAAACACTGAATATCAAAACCCCAGGGGTGAGGCCAGAGTGGACAAAGTGAGGCTTGAATAGAAAATAAATGGCTAGCTGTCACCTCAAACAGTGACCCCTCAAGGAAGGAATTAAAGAAGGGTTAAAAACACCCATTGATGGAATAGAAAACCAACAAATCGCAAAGTTAATCGTAACACCAAAACCCTATGCTCGCCCCATTTTACAATGGACGAGCTTTTGGAAAGCCAAAATACACTGTTTTTTTTAGTGAGTAGAGGGGCGAGTGGGAGAATCCTAAGCAGACTCCCCGCTGAGCACAGGGCTCAATCCCACAACCCCAAGATCAAGAGCAGGACGCCCAACCGACTGAGCCACCCAGGCGCCTCCAAAATACACACCTCTTGATACAGAAAAGCACAAGGGGCTGTGAGAAACCGAAAAGGAGGTAATTATGCACACAGGATTTTCAGGGTGGGGATGATCTACCCACATGAATCCGAGAGAAAAACGAAGCTCTCCTACTGTACACGAGTGTATAAAATTAGAAGGAAGTATTTTCAGAGTGCTTCAGATATTCCATGATTACAAACCGCCGTGCAACTCGATAGGACAGTGGACCCAGAGAAAGAGCCGCACCTGGGAATCATCCCTTGCTTTCAGACGGCCTTCTGCTTCCTTTCAACCAAATTACTTCCGAAATGAAGCTGGTCTGCAGTTAGCAGATGAAGTATTTTGTTTACTCCTGTTGTCATGTGGTGCTCTGACCCCCTCGTGACCTCGCTCTGTAAGGTTTTTCATCTCATAGCCTTAGTGCAACTGGACCACTAAGTAAACACATTTTTAAGAGGCTCTTCCAGTTTGATTTCACTATTTTCCCAGCTTTGCGGCCATGAAAGGTCCTTGAAAACCCAGAAAATTCTACCAAAACGAAAAATAGTTTTAAACTATTGTCATTCGCTGCCAACAGTAGTCCAGTGTAAAATGTCACGATTATAGGGGGTTTCTTTCCTCCCTGTTTATAACCTCTCTCCTTAAGGAAAATTGCCTGGTTTTGTGAAGGAGGGTCTATCAGATCCAGACTGAATCCCAGAGTTTGCTGCTGCAAACTTTACACCGTGGAAGGTGGGGAAAGGACCAGAGTTCCTCTAGAAATCAACATTTACCCAGTGACTTAAAACCCTTTGGCCCACGCCCACCCCTTCTGCTCATCCCACCTTACCTTCATCCCCGTTGGCTAGTTTGAGGGAGTTTCTTTGCAAGTTCGGAGTTGTGAGCAGATGTATCATGTCCTTTTCTTCTGTAGCTCTTCTGCTGCTCAGACGCTTCCCCCTCCGTCTCCCCTAAAGAGAGAAGAAACTCCTATGTCACTGGGGGAGCCAGAGGGCCCAGCGCCGGAGCTCGTGGGTCTTAAAATGTTGTCTGCCTTTTGCTTATACTTTGTCTGTTGGTTCTAATAAATTTTTAAAATCCATTGCTTGTTCAATTACTGGTTTCCCTGGCCACGTGTCCTGGGACCAACCCCCGCCTACCACGGTACCTGCTCTGGCCCAGAGTGGAGTCGAACCACCCAGAACCACCCCTTCCAGGGGCTCCTAGCCCGGGATCCAAGAGACCCAAAACTACACAGGAGCACTTTCTGGGAAGAAGTCTGGCTGGCTTTCATCAGATTCCTGAAGGGGACTGCTGCACCCACCCCCCACCCCAGCCCAGAGAATTTCCTCTCTGCCCCTAGACTGTGCCTTGTAAGCCAAGCCACGAGCTGCCCTCGTGTGGCCATTGCCCAGCCAGGAACGTGTGTTTAAAAGCTACTCTGGGGATGGCCTCACCTTCCCCAGGAGGGAGAAATCGCACCTTGGCTGACAATGCCCCCAAGAGGAGACTTTTGGTCTGTTCTGAAAGGGAAAGAGGAAGTCCTCTACCCCAGCACCCCACTTCGGAATTAGAGGCCCCACATTTAGGCAGACGGCGCCTCCCCCCCCCTGCAGTTAAGTGACAAACAGCAGCTTACTGCAGACGGACCCTGCCCACCATGGAGGAGAAATGGCTTCCTCCTCCCCTCCCCCCGAGGACACAGCCCTCCTGTTAGAACCGGCTGGTGGCCTGCCATCATGGGCAGCGGCTGCAGCAGCGGCCAGAAGCTTCTGTGAGCCACGCCCGCCCGCCTCGCCCCTGCGGCCGGGCCAGATGCTTACCTGGCTGCTCGGGCAGGCCCTGCCGGCCTCGCTCTGCCGTGTGGTGGCGGCTTCCCTCTCGCTGGGCTCCGGCAGGCGCCAGGCAGGGCAGGCTTTTGGCCTCCGATGCCCACCGCAGGCTCCCAGCAGCAGGCTTTCCACACCGGCTCGGCACCAAGGGCCTTTCCTTCCCTCGGGAGGGAGGGAACGCTGTCCGCAGCCCCGGGGGCTGAGCCGGGCCCAGCTTTTCTTCCCTTGCCCACCGCCAGCGTAGATGCTGCCCCGTGCCCTCTGGGTGGGGGGGGCAGGAGCTGCTGCTCAGCATCCCCCTCGCCCTGATGGCTGCCCTGGGGCTGAACACGGAGGAGCCTGGTCCCCTTCCTGACTTGGGTTAGAGGGATGAGCAGCCACCGTGGGGCCAAGAGCACCCACCACTGAACCCCAGCTGGCACTTGCCTCCCGATTCGGGAAGAGCCCAGAGACAAAGCAGTGCTGATGCCCCGGGAAGTTGTGGTAAAAAAAAAAAAAAAAGCAACCTGGCTCCTCCGGCTCCCCTCTCCAAGGCCTTCCCAAGGTCACCGTGTGGGAGGACAGCTTGCAAAGCAGGTGTTTGCAAAACCCTTGCCAAGGCGACCTGTATGTTTAACTCTCTCAGCGGCTTAGGCTCGGCAGGCAGGTGGGGGCACGGGCAGCTACACAGGGGCCCGGCCTCCCATGAGCAGAGCACAAAAAGAACTTTCTAGTCCCCTGGGCCAGAGAAGAATGGAGTTGTTCTGTTCAAGTCCAGCAGAGGGTGCTTGGCCGGAATTGGGAGCTGTGGTGATCATACTCTTCCCTTACCATGATTCCTGTCTAACGTGGCTGCAGGATGTGTCCTCCGAGCTTCTCCTCTTCAATTTCCGTGACACAGCCCTCTGGTGAACCTACCAGACCGATGCATTTGTGTCAAATTGCCAGATTCTTTTAACATCTAAAAGCTGAGTTCCGGGGCACCTGGGTCGCTCAGTCGGTTAAGCGACTGCCTTCGGCTCAGGTCATGATCCCAGGGTCCTGGGATCAAGCCCCGCATCGGGCTCCCTGCTCGGCGGGAAGCCTGCTTCTCCCTCTCCCGCTCCCCCTGCTTGTGTTCCCTCTCTCGCTGTGTCTCTCTCTGTCAAATAAATAAATAAAATCTTTAATAAAAAATAAAAGCTGAGTTCCGGTAACGTTTCCGTGATGCGGCGGCAGGGACCGGGCCCCACGTGCGACCTGACCACTGGCACGCACCCTCCCCGAGCTCGGTCCCCACCCACAGCCCGAGGCCCTCCAAGCGTGACCGCGCTTCCCTCAAATATTTGACTTAGCACTGATTTCCCATTTCCTCTTAGCCGCTGGTGTCATCCCTGATAGAGGGAGGGCTGTTCAACAAGGGGATCTGTTGATTCACCAACCTGCCCGTTCTAGAACAAATTCCAAAACACACATCACTTGCTTCAGATGAGGTGCCCCGTCGAGGACCCCGGGGGGGGTGGCTGTGCAGCCCGAAAGCCCCTCCTGGGCACCCTCGCTGGCCCGGCAGGTAACAGATACGGTTTTGGAGCCTCCTGCCTCTGCATAGACCGCACCGCCCAAATGGCCGTCCCAAGACCTGTCCCCGTGCATCTTTGTGAACCAAAGGCTGGCAGCCCGGCTAGACTGTGGGGAATTAACCTGCCCTTTCTACAAGCAGGTTTGCACCAACTAACAGGCAACCCTGATCATCCCCCAAAGGACCGAATGAGCAAAACGGCCACCTCACGCACTTAGCACCCTGGGAGCCACTGGGAGGGCTCCCGGTCAACCCCGCAGGCCACCCTAACCCTGCCAATCAGAGGACACCCTCGGTGACTGGGAACAACTGAGCTCTCTTTGGAGCCACATGGACAGGGCTCGAGGTGAGTAGCTCTCATTCTAACTAGCTGTTTAGGTAAGTCATGACCCTCAGTGGCCTGAGCACATGAAAACGTCTGATGTTTGCCCACGGGGGACGCACGTATGCCCACGTCTCCCAAACTAAAACTCAGGCCACAGGGGCTGATGGAAGATTCATTATTTATACAAAACACTTTACACTAACGAACTGCCTTTGTGGAGGAGCACAACATCAAAGCAAACTGGGAGAGTCCCAGAAGATCCAGGCCTACGGATGCCACCCCAGCCGTCCTGCTCAAAGGCACAGGGGGTCCCCGTCCCGCGTGCCAGGGCTGGGGAAGGCGGGGAAGGCCGCCTCCGCGAGGCTGCAGGGGGCTCCCCCAGCAGGGAGGCTGCTGACAGAGCGCCGGATTCCACGCACCAGGCCATCCCACTGGCAGCCGGGAAACCGAGGGCGTGAGCGGGACGATCCCCGAGCAGCCAGGGCAGGCAGGGGCCCCGTGTCCCACTCCCGCTCCAGGAAGCTGGCTGGCTGGCTGGCTGGCTGCTTCCCAGTTCCTTGGCCCACCTGATGGCGGGCACCTGGAGGGGAGGAAGCCGAGGCCTCTGCCTTCGCCCCCCACCTACCGCTCTGGAAATGGCAAAACACTCGAGGAAGTGCTAGTCTAAGCAGCAGAGCTCTGGGAGTGACTTCAGACGGCTCTCTACTTCCGCACAGATGGGGCCGCGCTGCCGGACAGCCGTCTGTCCTGACCTGGGGGAGTGGAGGCCAGCATCCCTCAGGCCCCGGGGTCCAGGGGGCAGTCCTGCTACGCGCAGACTACCAACAGGATGCCAGCAAGGGTCCGCTCTCACCTCCAAGGTCCTAAATGAGCGTTTGCCGAACCCCCACCACCAAGGTGCACCAGCCTCGGGACTTCCGCCCCAAACACGGTCACGCTCCCCTTCACCCCGCCTCACTGCCTGGTTCCAGCTTCTCACTTAAATCCTCAGCACTGCAGTCGTGTCCGCATGAACGGCCCCGGAAAGATGTCGAAGAAATGGGCTGACCTGAGTGCCTCCGGGAAGGGCAAGCCAGGGCCTGGCGGGCCCAGGATCAAGGCCGCGTGGGGTGCCCTCCTGCACCTCTCCATGTTCTGAACCCCGACGCACACCTAGTAACAAAGCCATGGAAATGCAGAATACCAGTAACAGCTATTGTCAGTTACCAGAACTTTCTCGGGAGGCTAGGAAGGAACCTCCCGGTGAGTGTGGACGGAAGGAACTGAGCGAGGAGGCCTGGAACACCACCAGCAGCGAGTGACCACAGTGACCACAGCCACGCCGGCCCCCCTGAGCGCCGACCCCGAGCACTGAGCCCAAGCCGGCCCCAGCCCCCAACTGGACGGACAACCTTCACTTCCCTGCCCCCAGCATAGCCCGCCCCTGAATCAGAAGGTGACTCTGGAGCTTTGGGAGCCACTGACCTGGGACAGTCACCTCCCCTGCTGCCACCACCACAGGGGACTGCCCCACGCTGGGCCCGGGAGGGCGTCGGCAGCCAGGCCTCCTCAGGCACGTCACCGCGGGTCCCCCGCGCCCTCTCCTCCGGCCCAGACACTCGGTCACGACACCGCGGCAGCCCCGCCACCCACATCCCGGCCACCATGGAGCGGGGAGCTGCCGTCCCTCACCTGACTGCCCAGCACTTGTGTGGCGAAAAGAGCCAACACTTCACCCAAATTAAACCAGAAAAAGCAGGAAAAAACCTCCTCTCTGCCAAACCAGCCTTTGGAAACTAGCCGCTGCCTGCTCCTTTTCAGCCTCGTGCCACCAAGTGGCCGTGGGGAACAGACAGGAGCCACGTTCTTTAACAAACCAACCATTTTCTTTTTTTATTAGAGATAAAAACAGCGAGGTTCCACGTACCACACCTTAGGGAAAACGAGACAGCGGAGGACTGGGGACTATTTACAAGAGCGGTGGCCGAAGGACACCTGCGGCCTCGGGCCCCGCGGGAGGCTGCGGGCACGGCTTCGGGGAGCAGGCGGGTCAGTGGCAGAGGGCGATGGTTTCCATGTTAAGGAAGCGCACGTGCATCTTGGTCTCAATGTCTATCCCCTGCCAGATCTGCAACAGACAGAGCAGTGTGAGCGCGTGTCCCCACCCCTGCCCGGCCCGGGGCCTCGCCCGGGTCCCCCCGCCCGCCCTCCCCACACCAGGGCAGGTGAAACCCAGAGGGCTGGCTTCAAGACCGTGAGCTGAGCAAGAAAGAGAAACTTGCCTCTGCCTTTCTGCGGGTTAATTTGGCTCTGACATTTGGATTCTTTCTGATATTGTCACAGCAAGTTATTATTAAGAACAGAATCCAAGCTCTGGGCTCCAAGTCATTTCAATCCCACCCACCCCCGGCTGATTTTCATGCAGATTCCTTAACCCCATTAAACCTCCTCTTCATCGGTACAATGCCGAGACCACCACCTGCGCTGCCCACATAAGTCACGCAACGCTGGGGGCTCAAACGGAATCATCCGCGGGAACATTTTGTAAGCTATTAAGCACTGTGCAACTGCCAAGTTGTATTAAGCCATCTTCCTTAGTTAAAAGGCCATAGCAGTTTGGTCTTTCTAACGTCCCTGGGATAGGTCACCCTGTTCTACACACACAAGCTTATGCCCGGGAAGGATCATTTCTGCCCACAGATGCCCATTGCCTCATACCTACCTGGTCCTGGTTCTGCCGTTATAGTCCATCCCGGCCTGGGCCCCGGGGGACACCCCGAGGCCGCCCGACCCTATCTGCCACACTATAAAGCCCCCCCCTCCCCACTCCCAGGACTACACTTGCCAGCTCCTTGGCCACTCGGGGCCCGAGAGGGCCACAGATGGAGAGATGGCTGGATGCATCCATCAGACAGACAAGTCTGTCTCCCTGCTTGTGTGAGAAGTTCAAACTCTCGGGCTGTCACCTGCAGCATTTCCAGGGACAGTCACCGGGCTGTGAGCAGGCTGCAGTCAGAGCCCCATCGGCGCCCACGCTGCAGGGAGGCCTGGGTGCCATTCTTGCCCCTGTCACACGCCCACCGTCCCCCAGCTAACTTTGTGGTCTCCTGCACCTGCTCTGGGTGCTGTGGGGTCTGGTGAAGGTACAGAGCGATCAGAGCCGGCTCCCAGGGAGCAGCTCCAACCCTCGTTCCCAGGGAAGCTACCTGGGCACCCAGGGTGCTGTCTGCTAAATGCCAGGTGGCAACAGGGGCACTGGTGAGGCTCAGGGGAGGGGAAGGGCCAGCTGGTCAGGAAAGGCCCCCGTGGTATGGGGACAGGCTTGGGGAGCACCGGAGCCGTGGGGCGGCGGATAGGGGAAGCCTTCTGGGGAAGAAGCGGGCTCTCTCGGGCTTCTTTGCCCGCCCAGGCCTGGTGTGTGAGGACAGAGGAGCCTGCCCACCTCGGCCCAGAAGCTTCTGCTGCCTGCCCTCTCCCTTGCAGAGCTCACTGCTGCCCGGCCAGGTTAGCCGTGCAGCCTGGGAGGAGCACCCATCTGAGCTGCCCCTGGGCTCCGTGGGGCTGTGACCACCCGAGTCCTGGCCTGGCTCCAGGCCCGGGCCCGTCCGCTCCCTCAGGCCGGTCAGAGGCTGGTGTGGCACACTGGACCAGAGCCTCCGGGTCCTGTTCCCCTGACTTCCTGTCCTTCCTCTAATTCCAGAACGAGCCTGGCCGACCCACTCTCAAGGTACACACGCAGTGCCAGGCAGAGGGCAGAGTGGGCTTGCCTCCCTCCGCTGGGCATGTACCCATCAGAGCAGTGAGGGGTCCCGGTTCCTAACCTCAGCACGTTCGGGACAGCAGAGGCCTGGCACCCACCCATGGCGGCTGCGAGACTGGGCAGCTATAGCCAAGGAAAAGCAAGCGACAAAACCCCACACAGCTGGTATTCATAAGGGGCATAGAACACTCCAGAACCTGGTTCCTACCATCAACAGCGATGCTTATGACAAAGGCGACCCAAAGGCGACTGGGGACTCGTAGGAGAGAGACAGGTTTTGTTGGAGCCCCTTTGTACTCCTTCAAGTGCCCTGGCCACAAGTGAACGTTACTCTTCCAATAAAAGTCAGTCAAACCTGTGTTTTAAAGGTGACGCCCAGGCATGACCCGTGTCCACAGAGATGTGGGTCTCTTCCTGACCAGCGGACACCCCTCGAGCCCCACCTCTCCTCCTAGACACCCACCTTCAGGAAGTCGTCGAAGGTGATCCCCTCATACACCTGGTCAGGCTCCTGGGAACAGAGCACATGCAGAGTGAGCGGCTTCCACCAGGAGACCCCTGTCCCTCCCCAGGACACAGATGGTGGGGCCCCTTCAGTCACGAGAAGAGCGGCTCCCTCCAGACTGCTGCGTCCAGCTTGAGGCCATCACCCTGAACTGCAACGTCCCCTTCGTTGGCGGGACAGCAGGATAGAAGGAGGGTGCGGGCTAACCAGGGCCCCACCCGAGCCCCCCAGGGGGGGACCCGGTGGATGAGGGTGTAAAGGAAGTGGGTGGGCAAAGACTCCCTTTCCCCTCAGCCACCAACGGACACCTCCTGCCATTTCCCGGTCCTGCCTCACTGTACCCGCCCTGACCCTCTGAGCTCACTGACCACTGGGGCAGGGGT